ATATTAATATGTTCAACTATTAATTAGATTAGGGGGTGAGAAAACAGTATATAAATCTGAATAGAAGAGAGGCGGGTGAACCCTATATTAATATACTCAACTATTTATTAGATCAGGGGGTGAGAAAACAGTATATAAATCTGAATAGAAGAGAGGCGGGTGAACCCTATATTAATATCTTCAACTATTTATTAGATCAGGGGGTGAGAAAACAGTATATAAATCTGAATAGAAGAGAGTCGGGTGAACCCTATATTAATATCTTCAACTATTAATTAGATCAGGGGGTGAGAAAACAGTATATAAATCTGAATAGAAGAGAGTCGGGTGAACCTTATATTAATATCTTCAACTATTAATTAGATCAGAGGGTGAGAAAACAGTATATAAATATGAACAGAAGAGAGTCGGGTGAACCCTATATTAATATATTCAACTATTTATTAGATTAGGGGGTGAGAAAACAGTATATAAATATGAACAGAAGAGAGTCGGGTGAACCCTATATTAATATCTTCAACTATTAATGAGATCAGGGGGTGAGAAAACAATGTATAAATCTGAGTAGAAGAGAGTCGGGTGAACCCTACATTAATATCTTCATATATTAATTAGATCAGGGGGTGAGAAAACAATGTATAAATTTGAATAGAAGAGAGTCGGGTGAACCGTATATTAATATATTCAACTATTTATTAGATCAGGGGATGAGAAAACACTATATAATTCTGAATAGAATAGAGTCGGGTGAACCCTATATTAATATCTTCAACTATTAAATAGATCAGGGGGTGAGAAAACACTATATAATTCTGAATAGAAGAGAGTCGGGTGAACCCTATATTAATATCTTCAACTATTAATGAGATCAGGGGGTGAGAAAACGATGTATAAATCTGAGTAGAAGAGAGTCGGGTGAACCCTATATTAATATATTCAACTATTTATTAGATCAGGGGGTGAGAAAACACTATATAATTCTGAATAGAAGAGAGTCGGGTACTGAAGCTCATCCGTACAGTTACAGCCGTGTTTTTATACCGTTCACTGCCGGTAGGGTCCACATATTACATCATATTGATTTATGTGATGTTTGTGTCTGTTACAACACTCGGAGTCAAGAATTATTGGGTAGACTCTCACATATACATAATGAACCACACTAGTAATCAGTGGGACTAATTGCAATATTGATAAGATTTTTTTTCCCCATTTTTCGAAGTTCATTCATGTGTTGAGGACCCTAGTGGTTGAACTGATGTTCGTCAGGGTTTGAAAGTATAAAATAAACATCGTATTAACCACAGACCATATAAAGTCGTAGTGGAACGGCGTGTAACAGAACTACATTTTGGCGTTTTATAGGTAGTGTGTTGCCACCTTTTGGGGAAGGTATGTAACAGCCTTTTTCGACGTAAAATATTCATAAACTCCGGTTATAAATATGTGTTCAGATTGGGGACTTAGAACTTTCAATACGGAAATCTCTTGTACTTAATGGCATTGGAAAACAAAAGAATGGGGACTAGCTTGTGGCACCAGGACCAATCAGAAAGAGACTAGCAAAGAGTCGTACCCCAGCCGTGGTAGGCAATTAGCAGCGTCTTGTAACAGGTGCGAATCCGCAAAAACAAATATCAGTGACAAAAGTCCTCCATGTTTGTCAGGCAACGGTGTGCAACATAGACGAGAACGATCTCCGTCTGAAAAAGCAACGTAGGTCGCGTGTACAAAAGTTGCTTCCACGACATATCCGTTCAACCGTCGCATACTCAAACAGCTAAAAAATGAACCAGATATTCAAGCTGTTCCACAGAAATGCATACCCGTCATCTCACTGGCCGCCAATGGGTATCTATTCGATCGGATTGTAAGAACGGGCGCCGTGATACCGTTGTCCTGTTACACTAGACGGATTAAGAAAAGATGCAGGGATGAATGGTATGCTTTGAGCATGACAGCCTTACGACAGAGCCTTGGGCAGTGAAACCTACATGGATAGTAACGACGCGGTGAGGCTCCAAACTCCATTGTTTACACGTGTTATATACAACGAATGAATGACTATTATATAAGTACATATAATGTTTTTAAAACTGCATGATTATATAAAATATAGTTTACTTAAAGATGAAAGTTCGCTTGGAGTGGCCTCGTGGTTAGGGCAGTTAACTCGCAATCTGTGGGTCGCGGATTCAAATTCTATCACTGAAGATGCTCGCCTTTATAGCCTTGGGGGCGTTATAATGTGACGGTCAATCCCACTTTTCGTTGGTACAGGAGTAGCTCACGAGTTGGCGACGGGTGGTGTTGACTAGTTGCCTTACCTCTAGCCTATCACTTCTACATTAGAGACTGCTAGCGCAAATAACCCTCGAGTAGTTTTGTGCGAAATTCAACAACGTTTTGCCCCAGGCAACCAGGAATGAGGTGAATGTTTACACCAAATTGCGTAATTAGGCCTACACCAAATTGCGTATTTAGGCCTCGTAGTGTAAGGGTGCTAAATAAACACAGCTTAATCGCAAGAAACAACACGAATGAAGTCCCTTCACCTGAACCAACCCAGTCACAGCATCACGAACATGATTGATTTTTGACATGGAAATAGTAAAAGACGTGTCACTGAAAAGGGAGCAGTCGTTTATTTCCTTACTGAGGGGTGTACATAAATAACTGTCGTTTTAGAACCAGTATCTTAACTTTAAACTATCACAATAAGACCCTTTTTACTTTGATTGTTTGTTTGTAGTTAAGCACAAAGGTACACAATGGGCTATCTGTGCTCTGCCCAACACGGGTATCGAAACCCGGTTTCTAGCGTTCTAAGTCCACAGACATACCGCTGTGCCACTGGGGGCTTTTTACTTTGAACTCAGAATCATAAAACATACCCAATGTTCTCCTATAATACATTTACACTTTAAATAATATTAATGGTAACTAACATTTCCATCAAATACAACAAATAAATACTACAACAATAAAGTTTAACTCATTCACTCTAAATAATAATAATAATGGTAACTAACATTTCCATCAAATACAACAAATAAATACTACTAACAATAAAGTTTAACTCATTCACTCTAAATAGTAACGAAAAGAAGAAAGTGAATTCCCTCAGTCCACGTGTCGAATGATCGAGTCTGTCTGGCCGAGGTTATATGATTTCCCGCCACAGGGAAATTTCTTGAAAGAAAGGACGATCACATTTGTTCTGTATGTATGTTATCTATCATAAAAAATTACTTTATAGGCCAGTAAAACTCTCCTTTGTTAACTTTGGGCAGAAACATACTACTTTATAGGCCAGTAAAACTCTCCTTTGTTAACTTTGGGCAGAAACATACTACTTTATAGGCCAGTAAAACTCTCCTTTGTTAACTTTGGGCAGAAACATACTACTTTATAGGCCAGTAAAACTCTCCTTTGTTAACTTTGGGCAGAAACATACTACTTTATAGGCCAGTAAAACTCTCCTTTGTTAACTTTGGGCAGAAACATACTTTTTTCACGCGTATTTGGGAAATTATGTGATTTCTTTAAAAAACAACAACAACTTGATTTTATATTCTAAACGTGTTGAAAAATACACACCCTTTCCACGAATGGTAACAAGATTGCCAGTAAGTGCTCCCACCCAGGGGTCAGATATTGTATACCGTATTTTATTTATAGCCTTATTTACTTATTCTGTGCATAAATACATGTGTTCAATTTTTCACACTTGTACTAAATAATTATCCATACATCTTGCGTTTCTCAGCAATTCTTCATTACCAAATAATGCTATCGTAGTAGTTTTGTACGATGTTATTATTACCGTTATTCAACTTTCAGTCAGCTATACACTGTTTCTCAGAATAAGGAATGTCCAACAGTTCGAAAGCTGTATAAACAACGTGTACATCGTATCATCTCGCAAGCAATTTGGTGCATAAATTATTTATAGAAAAAACGTGTTAGATCCCATCCGTAATAGTAGGGTTAATAACAATTTCATGCCAATTATCACGAGTGTAGATAAGAATGTAACTGTATTATAAATATAAAACATAGTGCCCTCATATAGGTGTATATATACTTTTGTATAAATAGTATAATTTTACATTATCTTCGTAAGGTTTTACTGACGTATTTTTTGGCGCGTACATCTATAATAAAAGCGTTGTATTTTTTACATAGTTATCTCGTCAGGACAGTACAGAACTGAATAACTGCCTGTATTTTTTTAAGAAACACAAGTCGTTCAACGCAAAGTAAGTTAATACTTTTTTTTAATAATATCTGTGGAACTCGTGTATTGTGATGTAGTGATTTATTTATTAAAGGTAAATACATTTTAATGTTGATTTTGATTTAAAGATTCACTTAAATTTAATTTGAAATTGACAGGAATAAAATAATGTATTTTATAACCTAGGTTTCTAAAAAAATTCTAAATTAAAAAACAAATATATATTTAAAAACTCGCGTTAAAAGATACGCAAGTATTATATATCTTATTCTTATTTTAAACTATACGTTTTAAAGTTAAGATGTATAGTTTTCTTAGTTTTGTAGTTTTGAAGGGTAGCCTGTGATGCTACGAAACCGGTTTACTAAATAACAAAAAGACTATCGAAGGTTTGTGATGTATATTTATCAACTGTAAGTATTAGAGTAAATAACTCGGTGTATACGAAACCGGTTTACTAAATAACAAAAAGACCATCGAAGGTTTGTGATGTATATTTATCAACTGTAAGTATTAGAGTAAATAACTCGGTGTACTGTAGTATATTCTACAGTGCCAACTTACGCTTTGTATCATATATGTGAGACATTGTTTTGGGCCTAGTTGAAAGTTAAATTTAACAAATAAATGTTAATGTTGTCTTTCACATGTGTGTGTATATAAAGTTATTAAAAAATAATAATACAGCATGCCCGTTTTTCTATAAAATATTCTTATTGTGTACAGTTTTCAAAAAAAAAAAGACACAAAGTCTACAAACCTTCGCCAGAGAAGCGGGCTCAGTCGGATTTAGTGACATGTCATAACGCTGGAACTCCTTTAAAATGTATTCTAACTCTATACGGAGACAGGTCTACGAGTTGGGGCCAGCCACCCGGGATACCTAAAAACAGGTGGTAAACAAGTAAGTTAGACTGTCGGACTTCTGAAGAAACGAAAGATACTGTGCGAAAAAAGAAGTAAAACGTAACTTTTGATCAGTGAAAATATGATATGATGCTTTGTTTTTATATTACAATATCAACGCAACTCGTGGGCTCTTACCAGGTTGGGTTGTTATATATCATCTACGATGCCCCGAATGCAAGATATCTAGCCTCTCACAATTTTACTGTGTAAAGGTCAAAATTTAAAAAAATACAGAATGTCCTGCGTAGGGTCCAGCACGGCTATTGGCTGCCAAAGCAACCATCAACAATACAAAGCTGTTGTTTTCAAGCGTTATTGGTTGTCAAGGTGACCGTGAACAATATAAGGTTGTTGTTTTCAAGCGTTATTGGTTGTCAAGATATGACCGTCAACAATATAAGGTTGTTGTTTTCAAGCGTTATTGGTTGTCAAGGTGACCGTCAACAATATAAGTTTGTTGTTTTCAAGCGTTATTGGTTGTCAAGGTGATGTCAACAATATAAGGTTGTTGTTTTCAAGCGTTATTGGTTGTCAAGATGACCGTCAACAATATAAGGTTGTTTGTTGTTTTCAAGCGTTATTGGTTGTCAAGATGACCGTCAACAATATAAGGTTGTTGTTTTCAAGCACTATTGGTTGTCAAGGTGACCGTCAACAACACAAGGCTGTGTGCAAATGGCAATCGAGTCAAATAAATATGATTATAAAAACATGTCTAGTTCACTGTATGAGTTATGTTTGGTATGCTGTTAAAACAGAGCCCACGGGGATTTCAGATGTTCACACTGTTAGAACAGGGTCCACAGGGATTTCAGGTGTTCACAACCACACGCTTCTTTAAATTTGGAGGCTAAGGTTCAAAATCTAGTAAGTATTTCATTAATTTTTCTACGTTTATACGCAAAACCCAGGGTCGTAATTCTTAACAGAAGATTAATTACACCGGTAATAAGTTGGACATTCAAATATATATAGGAATCACTGGACAGAAAAAACAAACTGAATTTTACCCAAGTCTAGAAAATATAAAAATACACTTGAGCACGTGGATAATGAAGATTACTTTCAAGGTATTGAGTAATGTTGTCACTTTTCTTCCAACGTTTCCTGTTTATTTGTCAACGAGATTTCAAAAGTTTAAACTAAGGATATAACAGTTATATCACTCATATTTTCAAGATTCTGTAAACTTTTGTATATTTCCCAACTTCACATAGCTGTCCGTTAATTATCGAAAATTAAGTCTAATTTTGTAGATATTGTAGCTAATTTCAAATACTAGTTTAACTAGGACTATGCAATGTCTCAAAACAAATTCTTATAAGGATTAGGATGCACTGACTTATCCAGTTAAGTACTCTCTCTCTTATCGATATTTTCGGCCGTAATCCTAATAATACCTCCCGATATTCTGCCAGCTTTAGTGATTTAGGATAGTCATAAATCCATATACTAAAGTATCAATACAAAATAATATGTATAATAATAATAAAATATAATAAATAAATCACAAATAATGAAATAAATTTTTATTAAATATTTTCCGTTAATAAAATTGTAGAGATCTCTGAATGGAAAGTACGATACGAAAAAGTAGTATAAGAGTATTCATTCATTAGGCCTTGCTATGACGTCAGGTGGTTAGGGCGCTTGACTCGCAATCTGAAGGTCCCCCGTCCCACCAAACATGCTCGCCCTTTCAGCCGTGGGGACATTATAATGTTTCAGTCAATACCACTATCCCTTGGTAAAAAGAGTAGCCCAAAAATTGGCGGTGGGTGGTGATGAGTAGATGCCTCTAAGTCTATCACTTCAAAGTTAGGGGCGGCTAGCTCAGATAACCCCCAAGTAGCACGAAATTCAACGACAACAAATAAACAAGCTTTTGAAATAACCAACAATCTATTTGTGTACGGGAGTATATTATACTAATTGTAAGTGGACAACGTACTATACGTTTCGACAAAACACTGGTCTGTCTCCTTCCTGTGTGGTGTATAACTAGGTACGCATGGTTTAGTGGTTTATATAAGAAATCAGTATATATATATACATACGTATACGATAAACGTAAGGATTTATAATATATATGAATGTTGTCACGTGACAACGGTGAAACTTACAACAGGTTTATGGATTAAAAGAAACAGTCAGGGCAGGTCAAGTGTGGGAACGAAAACCAAGAGAATAACTCAGCCATGCTAGAACAAGACAATGTAGGTTACAACTTAGGCACTTAAAAAGCCCAACAGAATACTCTATGACAGACACTTACTTGACCTACGATGGTCAGTTTTATAAAGAAAACAGTGGCCCAAATATTGGAACTTCCTGTTCCTCTTCCTCATCTACTTAGTGGCATTTAAATGAACTAATTCACTTACCAAAATCTTGAAGTCTGGTTGTAATCGTTGACGATATATTTAGTGCATAGCTACTTGGAAAATACTGTCTACTGATTATTATAGAATTTTTAAATTACCTAATTTTCGCTGATGAAATAGGATCTGGCGCTCGTCTTTCCTGGTTAAATTTTAACGTAGAACGAGAAAGCAATAAAGTAACCGCCAGAAAACCCGTGCTGTCACCCTGGCGCCGTACACAAGAACTAATCATCACCTACATTTTACAATGACGACATCAAACGCCTCTGGATAAATGTTTTCATTCTACCCGACGTTTCGGGTATGAAGTTCATACACCCTTGAAAAAGGCGTAAGCCGAAACGTCAGGTGGAATTTCAAATATAAAAAATTTATCTAAAGTTGTTTGTCGTCTTTATTGAAAATAGTTTCCATCCTTCAGTCAGCACTGAAAACTTACCAGAAATAATAATAAAAATTATCATTTATTTCATACTATGTCCTTCTGCAGACTGAACTTAGCTACCGAAGAATGTAGTACTCTCTAGGGGATTTAACACTAATATCTTTGCGAAGGCTTATTGTGTGCTAACAATAACTCCCCGGGAGGAAAGCGGTACGTTTACGGACTTGTATAACACTGAAATCCGGGTTTCGATTGCCCCGCAGTTGACACAACAGATAGATAGCCTAATATGGCTTGGTACTAAATTAAACAAACCCCCTGCTATCAATATCACAAAGCATAGATTCGTTATATTCCAGAAATTACCTTTTATTTCGTAACTTGAGAACTGATGTAAAACTGTACTTAAACCTTCACCTGACCTCAAACAACCTCTACTGGTGTAATAAAAGTATGTATAGTATCTGTCGTGAATGTTGTAAGTAATATATAGGACAAAGGTCACGTCCCTTGGAAATGAGACGCAAAGAATAGCAAGGTCATATACATAAGAGGTGAATTTGTGAAATCCCCCTTAACATGTCATCAGTTTCTGTCGGGTCAAAAGGTACTTTGGGAATAAAGGTTTTCCCAAAATACAAAGGAAGAGACTATTTAGAAACGATAGAAGTCATTAAAGCAGGAGATTTAAAAACAAAAAAACTATACCATGTTAGTGGCCGTAGTAACATAATCAAAAATTGGCTTAGTTTATTAGGCCGCGCGGTAGCGATGTCTGTGTAGAGACGAGTCCGCTTCTAGTTTTTCTTTCTCCTTCCCTTTACGTTAGGCCCGGCATGGCCGCCAGGTGGTTAGGGTCGCGGGTTTGAATCCCCGGGGGTCTCACCAAACGTGCTCGCCATTTCAGCCGTGGGGCGTTATGATGTGACGGCAAACCCCACTGTTCGTTGGTAAAAGAGTAGCCCAAGAGTTGGCGGTGGGTGGTGGTGACTAGCTTACTTTCCCTCTAGTCTTTCACTGCTAAATTAGTGATGGCTAGCGCAGATAGCCCTCTTGTAGCTTTGTGCGAAATTCAAACCAAACCAAAGTTTTCCGTCAGCTGAAACTATCCTCACTCAATACAGAAACCAAAACCAAAACGACAGTATTACACTGATCACTAACACACATTATATAATTATTCGTATTACCACAAACAATACAGCAAACATAAGTCCACAATCACACACAAAACTAGATAACATAAAATGAACATAGCCCTGAAAGGGAAAGTTGCAAACAGGAACAGATGAACATCAAAATCAGCTACCCAAAAACCTAAAGTATAGAATAACAATAGTACAGGAGGGAGGAAGTGGTCTATTAATTAAGAACCTGACCCTCCCAGGTCGCCAACGGCCTAAATTTCGATGATTGGTCCAGAGAGCTGTAACTCATAAACCACAGTGTGCCTACTTCCAGCCTGCACACCAAAACTGTTCGTTACATCCTAATATGTGCCTACTACTTCCACCCTGCACACCAGATTTCTTCTTCGTTACACCCTTAGATGTGCCTTTTCAACCTACAGCCCAAAGTGATCCATGGTAGGTTAGTTACAGCCCAAAATATATGACACAAATTGCCCAATATGCATATCAATCAATCAATTAATAGCGCCATCTGTGATGCTAATATTAAAACAATAAAGAAATCTGGAAACTAGCAAAAAAAAAAAATTTTTAAATTGTTTGGATGTGGGGATGAAGAAAGATCAGAAACTAGGGAGCAGGAATGGGTAATGCAGACGTTCCTCTCATCCCAGTTGTTGTTTTCTGATCTTTTCTCCATCGCTACAATTTTAGAATAAATGGTTCTATTGGTAGTTCACTTAGTTTTGATTCTCATATTTGACAAGCTCAGACCATTCCTTTAAATCGTACACCTGTTCTATTACTGTTAACACTTGTCAACATTCATGTATATTATAAACCCTTACGTCTTATGTATTTGTGTATATGTACATGTTGATTTTGTATATACATCCTTATGTATTTGTGTATATGTACATGTTGATTTGTATATACATCCTTATGTATTTGTGTATATGTACATGTTGATTTTTGTATATACATCCTTTAGGTATGTATGTATATCTTACGTGAAGAACCCAGACCAATGTTTTGTTGAAACGTGTATGTGGTCTACATAAAATGTCATTATATA